CATAAAGGATATATACATATATGCACCTTTATGGCAGTGAGATAGGAAATAAGCTCTGGCGTGCAAATTCTCTCTGTCAAATCGGTCCAGGGAGATGGTGGGATACTCCTTCATGCGGCCAGCAAACGAGCTCATGCTGATTGCACTGAGTTTGAGCCGATGAAACCCTCAAAACCCCCCTGAGAGCTGAGCACATCCCTGGCCTGCATCTGTCTTCCTCCTCCGGGTCCTGGCATCGCTTTGGTATGAAATCACGTGAGTCGGAAATAAACATCTGTAATTTGATAGCCTGAATCGTACAGCGACATCTATTGGACTCCAAAGCAATCATTATAACATTGCAAAAAGGCACAATAATCGGTATACTCTAAAATAGTACACTGAGACCAGTGTTGTTGTTGTTTTTTTTGCAATTTTTAGAACAAAGAACATATAAAGGCAATAACATTTAAACTGATTAAAAGCAAATACTTAAAATAAATAAATAAAAACTAAATAAGAAAAGCAATAAAAAAAACACGTCTGTAAACAAGTACAAATAATTACAAATTATTCAAAGAATAGATTTAAGGCTTTAAAGTAATTTACTTTTTGTTTTTGTTTTGTTATTTCTTGTTTCTTTTAACGTATACAAGTAGTGACCTATTTCTATTCTGAAATGAGTCAAATTAGGCTTTTTCACTGCCCATTTACATTTGTGAATAAAGAATTTTCGGTAACACTTTACAATAAGGTTCATTAGTTAACATTAGTTAACTACTTTAGTTAACATGAACTAAGCATGAACAATACTTCTACAGCATTTATTAATCTTAGTTCATGTTAATTTCAACATTTACTACTACATTATTAAAATCAAAAGTTGTGCTTGTTAACGTTAGTTAATGCACTGTGAATTAACATGAACTAATTATGAACAACTGTATTTTCATTAACTAACCTTAACAAAGATTAATACATACTGTAATAAATGTATTGTTCATTGTTTGTTCATGTTAGTTAATACATTAACTAATGGAACCTTATTGTAAAGCGTTACCGAAGTAAATTCACAATATACCAAATCTTGAAGTCAACATAAAAAAATAAAACATCCTTTTCTTTGAGTTCAATATTAATACTTTGTTTAACAAAAAAACTAAACAAATCACACCAAAATAATTTTGTATAAATACAATCATAAAATAAATGAACAATACTCTCATTTTCCTCTTTACAGAAAACACACTTCAAGTCAATGTCTTTACAAAACTTTGCAATTACCTGTTTTACAGGATAAATACGATGAACGATCTTGTATGATACTTCTCTCATTTTATTTGTGATACAAAAACGTCTGGAGATCTTAAAGGTCTCTTTCCAGTTGAACACTGAGACCAGTGTTGCCAGCTAATCTTCAGGGGAAGTTGCTAAAGGAAGGTCGGTTTGCTGCTAAAAGTTGCTGAATGATGTTGTGATGACATTGTGTGATGACGCCATTACGTAATCACATGCAAAATGCTGTCAAATCTCAACAAAAACATATATATATATATTATATATGTTCATTTAGATTTGTTCGTAGCAATATAAATGCATAATAATAATATTAAAATATAAATAACTATTTTTAAATTCATTGAATTATACAATAATTTTTGAACAATTACAATTTATGTTTTATACTTTAAAGCAGTTTATTAGTAGTTAGTTAGTATGCTGCACTCTAAGAAAAGTAATAAAAAAATATATAATGCACAATCTACTGTGTTAATATGAAGGAATTTTCTGGATTGATTTTTCCACAGGTTTTTGTACCTGCATTTTTAATTACAAGTCAAGTCAAGTCAAGTCTGCTTTATTGTCAATTCTTCCACATGTACAGCACATACACACAGAGAATTGAAACTGCGTTACTCTCAGACCCTTGGTGCGTACAGATAACACTACAGTAGAAGATAAATACAGATAGATACAGATTAAATACAAAATATAACTATACAAATAAGGTAAAATGTAAAATATATATATATAAAGCACAAGGCATTACGCATTGTATTTTGTGTTTTCGGGTTACAACGGATAATGTCCTGGAAAGTTACTAGCACCTTTTCCATTTTCCTGCATATTTTTCTTACAGTGTACTAACTCATCAACAACCACAGGTACAAGCTACTAACAAAGGGTCTCATAATTGAAAAATAACAGTATTCAATTATTATCATTACTATTAAATTAAACAATTGCAAATAGCAGCTAACTTAATTCCTGTAACGTGTGTACTGCTAGGCATCTTTGGTTTCCTCTTTTTATGTAATTTAAATGGTCAATTGTGCCTTTTTATCGTTTGAGTCACTTATCAAAAGTTGCTAAAAGCTGCCAAATAAAAAAAAAAAAAATAGCTACATTTGTTGCCAGGTGCTTTTGGAAGAAAAAGTTGCTAGGGTAGTCTGAAAAGTTGCTGAATTTAGCAACAAAACTGCTAAGTTGGCAACACTGACTGAGACGAAACAAATGCGAGCAAAGTTTCGCGAATAATTATGCATATGCATTATGCATTCGGTCCGTTTCTTCTAGGCAGGTTTCCGGGTGTAGCTTTGATTGGCCAACCAAACTCTAGAATTCCGGGTTGGTTTTTGATTGGCCATGTTTTCCTCACGCTATGCGCCGTGTTGCTAGGAAACACATGATGCGCAGGATTGTTTTGCTAACGGAGCACGTTGACAATTCAGCCTTGTGTCACACACGCCAATGTAAGTTTGTATGAAAAATATGATTAATAATACCTATATACAAATGGTCATTTAATATCAGCGTGTGAGGCATGTTCTGAGTGATTAGACTAGATGCTTAGCTGTCAAAGTTTGTAAATCCAGAATATCCTGGATTAGGTGAGCAATGTTTTTTTGTGCGTAACGTTTTTGCATTATGTGATAAGTTGATTTGACTTGGCTTTGTACTAGAACAGAATTTGTAGTGAAAGTGTATTTATTCCAGAGGAGAATACTGTGGTGTATTTGTTATCATTCACAGAAATCATGTCCTGTGCCGTTTTACTGGATAACAACGCTAAGCCAAAGTCCATGAGCCGAGCAAAGCAGTGGACAGGAGAGATTGAGGACCTGTACAGATTTCAGCAAGCTGGATACAGAGATGAGCTGGAGTACCGACAAATCAAACAAGTCGAGGTATACACTTTTGATCGTTTTTGTTTTATTAATACAATAGTATTCACTATTACATTATATAATGCTTAAACAATCCTTATACATACACATTCAGAAATGGTGTGCATGGTGTATGTTTTCTAATATACAGTACATTTTCTCTGTGTAAATATATTGAATATTTGGATTTCATGTTATTCATATATTAAAAGCTCTCAAAAGTCTGGGATCAGAAAGATTTGACTGTTTTTTGTTTTTTTAAAGAAGTCTCTTCTGCTCACCAAAGCTGCAATTATTCGGTCAAAATTACAGGAAAAACAGTAATATTGTGCAATTTAAAATAATGGTTTTCTATTTTAATATATTTTAAAATACAATTTATTTCTGTGACGCAAAGCTGAGTTTCCAGCATCATTACTCCAGTCTTCAGTGTCACAGGATCCTTCATTATAATATGCTGATTTATTATCAATGTTGGAAACAGTTTTTGCTGCTTAATATTTTTTATTTTGGAACCTGTGATACCTTTTTTGGGATTCTTTGATGAATAGAAAGTTAAAAAAGAACAGCATTTTATTCAAAATAGAAATCTTTTCTAACAATATAAGTGTTTATTGTCACTTTTTTATCAATTTAACACATCTTTGCTGATTAAAAGTATTAATTTCTTTCAAAAACAGAAGGAAAAAATCTATTTTTTCTAATCTATAATCTAAATTTCTATTTTAAGTAAATGCTGTTCTTTTTAATTCATCAAAGAATCTTGCAAAAAATATCACAGGTTCCAAAAAAGATTATCATGGATAACAAATCAGCATATTAGAATGATTTCTGAAGGATCATGTGGCACTGAAGACTGGAGTAATGACTGCTGAAAATTCAGCTTTGCATCACAGAAATAAATGATATTTTAAAGAATGTTAATATAGAAAACAGTTATTTTAAATTGCAATAATATTTCACTTTTTTCTGTATTTTTGATCAAATAAATGCAGCCTTGATGAGCATAAGAAACTTGAAAATTGTTACTGATCCCAAACTTTTGAACAGCAGCGTAGCTTACAGGTAACAGTCCTGTTTCCTGTTGAATGCTGTCGTACTGTCCTTTCAGATTGACCGTTGGCCGGACACTGGGTTTGTGAAGAAGCTTCAACGTCGAGATAACACATTCTACTACTACAACAGAAAACGAGAGTGTGAAGATCGTGAGGTCCATAAAGTGAAGGTGTATGCGTACTGACAGCTCCTCGACCCAGCCAACACTTTTCATTTTTTAGTTTTGAAATACTGTCTTTAAAAAAAAATGCATAATCACAGTGTATTCTTAATGTAAGCCTGGGTACAATTTCTGAATTAAAAAAAAAAGATCTGATAAACATGCGAATGAACCATTTAATGTTTCATAGTTATAAATAGCCAGCCTTTCATCTCTTTACTAAATTCTCCAAAACAAACCAGCTAAACTTAGGTTGGTTTAGGTACACATTTATCCAATTTTAGTGGTTTGCTCTTTTTCCTTAGTTATGCAGCAAACTATATAATAAATCAATGTATGTACATTGTTTGTAATTATGCAGAGACTACTTTTTAAACTTTGGGTTGAGACAAAGTTATCAAACACTGATGAGGTGTATAGGACAATAAAACAAAATAGCTTGTGAATATCAATATTAATAATCAAAATCCATGAAGAAAACCCCTTTTATTGAGTATTATTGATTATTTTGGTTCGATTTTGTGTCACTTTTTATTTACATTCAATGGTAATTATAAAGGAAACGTTGACAATTTGAGGTCTGTGCCAAAAAAAAAGAAAGATAAACATGGCCTTTTAAGAGCACGTCACTTCCGGTTTCATGCAGCGGTCGTCATAACTGATGGTTTGAAGTCATGCGGACAATACTCTGATCGGAAAACTCCCCCGTGTGATCAATAAATCCCTCTGTTTGTTATATACAGGTAAGTTCAGTAAGTTTAGTAGTTTCTTATACTCGAATTCCCTCCGTGCCGTTCAGACAGGTTGTTTTCATTTACATTAGCTTGTTAGCTTTTTCATGGCTTAATATTAATCTACAACAGCAATCTGATTGTGGTCATATTTACATTTTATTTTTCAGCTGAAAGCATTAGGTTTCAGACATGTTCAGACTAAAAAGATACAGTTTAGTGGATGATATTTATTGATCAGTATGTAAGTGTATATATAAACAAAAATCAGTTCATGCACCTGCACCGATTACAGTCAAAACAATAAAGTCATTTACTAGAGTCTAGACTGATAAGGTGTTCAGATGAACATGGTTATCTGAAAGTGATGTACGATTGTTTTGTTACCAGAAAGCAATTTTAAGTAGGCCACCTTTTTGAGAAGAAACTAGACTAGAACAATCGATACTAGATAATGAAAGCAATTGACATTAGACACTAATGGTGCATTTGCTTTATTTGGTTACAGAGCTGAAAAATAGTCTGGAGATCATCATTGGCTTCCATCTTCGGATAAGTTTTGGCATGAGCTGCGTCTAGAATTTATTCGTTATCATAATGAAGAATTGCCTCAGATCCCAAGGTAATGTGATTTAGGCTGTGTGCATAAAATGAAATGTTTTAAGAACTTAATTTTCCCTTTAAAGGAATAGTTCATCCAAAAAGTATTATTAGTAGTGCACATCATGTTGTTTTTAAACGTATTTGACTTACAGAACAAAAATTAATAACAGTAATGTAAAGAGTAAATGATGACGGAAGTTTCATTTTTAGGTGAACTGTCCCTTTAAGGATGACTTGTGACACAAATAAATTGGCATAATATTGTTTAAATATCATGTTTGTATGTGACTGTATGGTTAAATAAACACCAACAGGGTTCTGCACCAGCCACAAACCAAGTAAACAGAGCAGAGCCCTGTTTCCTTCTGCACTGATGTTAAGCTCAAGCTCTCACATGACTAATAATCACACATTTTTAAGGCTGTCCTTATGGTTTCTTGATCCAGGCTGCCTGAATCAACTCAAGCCCCTTGGGCTGATTATTAGAAAGGCAGGCTTGTGTTACTGTGAACCTCCATTGTAATAAAAGTCTTTGGATTCATGTGAAAAGGAGCAAAGTTCGTGACAGATCATTAAAGGGGTCATATGATGCTTTTTTTAAAGATCATTATTTTGTCGGTTAAGACAGCTGACTCCACTGTGATGTGACCTTGTCTCTCTCGCTCACACACACGCGCGTACACACACACGCACACACACACACGATGCACAAAACTCCGCATTTGAACAGTCAATAGCAAATACTTAAACTAATAACAAAACCGTAGCTGATTCAGAAGCGCCAGATTGTCATAGCAAAGTCAGAATTACCTCCTCTCCTAGGTTCACGAAACGGTCGTCCATAAAATGCATTGCTGTTCTGTTGTAAGTAATCTTAAAGATTCCTAAATGCATCTACTTTCGGAAGGCCAAATAAAGTGCTTTTGCTTTCGCCTAGAAACACACAGCGTCTCCCTGACATGACTGCTTCAACACTAACTGCGGTTACTGAAACCACGCCTTCTTTCTTTGCGTGCACATTTGGGCGGCATTATGCAAATATTTCCACATAGTGAGGTAGACAAGTGGGGGCGTGTTAGAACGAGCTGTTTTAGGGGGGCGTGGCAGAGTCTTAACTTTGATAAAGAATATCTCTTTGGTTTTGAGACTTTAGTCTTTGCAACTTCAGGGATCTTATCTATGCACAATCAGCTTGTAACACTCCAAAGAGAAAGGAAAACTTGAAATCGCATCATATGACCCCTTTAAAGTGCTGGGGCACTGGGGTTTGTTAGCTCATACACACTTTGACATGCCATGAAATTATGAGTGAACTAAATTAATGTTTCAATGTTTTAAAGCTCTAGGTAACCCAACCATGACTATGTCCTGCTTCTGAATCTCTTGCCGTGAGGAGCGAACCCAGCCAAGACAGCAGTGGACATGCACTGCTATCCTCCACTCCACAGGGGGTGCTGCTGGTAGAAGATATCAGGAAAGGGTGTGTGCACTGCTCTGGCCATGGATGACTTCACTACACGCACCTATGGCACCAGCGGCATGGACAACAGGCCTCTGTTCGGGGAGACGTCGGCCAGGGTAACACACCTGCTATTTTTTTATTAGTATCATTATATTGTTATATACAAACACACAGTTCCAGACCATGTTTTTATTCTTGAATATCAGTTTTGCTTAGGAAAAAAATGTCACATTGTGGAAGCAAAATAGGTTGAGAATGCATTGTCATGTTTACTTAGATTGCACAGAACAATATAAAGAAGGATTATTGCTTAGTTAATTGTGACTTTAAAGGAATAGTTCACCAAATGCCATTTTCAGAAAATCTACTCACCCTCAGCTACGGGTGGGCGATATGACCTAAATCTTGGATCACGATACGAGTCATTTTATTTCACAGTAACGATATTTATCAAGATATAGTTATTTTTGCTTTAAATAAGGTCTTTATGATCTCAACATATTTGATACCATAGAAACATTTCATTCTTGTCACCAGTTTAAATATCACAAAAAAACTAATACTAGCCTAAATTAAAAAAAACAAAACTCAAGCTCACTGAAGACAAGTAAACAGTCAGCGATTAAATAAGAATAATAAACTTATTATGAGCAATAGGACAAAAAAACTACAGTAGAACAAATAAATAAGAAATGCTACATACATTGTATAAAGTAATCAAATGTATAAAAACACTGCATATTCTTCACTGTGTAAATTGAATATATAGTTCTTCTTATTAAAGTCACAAAAGTGATTGTCAAGAGCAGTGAGAGATTTTCTCTCTTCTGTTGTTTGATTAACATGAATGACAGACAGCAGGAATATTAGACTGCTGTCACTTTAAGAGCTGCCCGTTTCCAATATACTGTTACACGTGTTTTCTTTCTCAGTTGTTTGCTTTCACTTAAGACCTAAATTACTGTGTTTATGAGGATATTTAAAAAGACGGGCATTTTGACACATACAAGTGTGTGTATTTAACCGTTCAAGGCCTATAAAATGGCAAAAAAAAACTCTGTTCAACACTCCCGCGCTCTATGAGCACCGTCTTCACAACGATACACAAGTAATCTAGACGACTCCAGTCCATCAGTTAACATCTTGTGAAGTGCAAAGCTGCTTATTTGCAAAAAACAGATCCATCATTAAGGCATTTCAACTTTAAACTGTTGATTCCCGCTAAAATACTTCTATCCGTAATGTTGCTTTCTCCAGTAAAAAAACGGTCTTGTCTGAAACAAATATGTCGGTGGGCTTTGATGTGAGAGGACAACAGGAGATGGACTTTTTCACAGGAGGAAGTGTTATTATGGATTACAGTCTCTTATAGAATCTTATTTTTGTATTTCACATTTTTGGGGTAAACTATTCCTTTAAATTACAATGAGATTACAAATTACAATGTGACTATTCCGTCAGCTACATTTAATATATTTTTGTCGATCACTTTCAGGATAGATTCATCAATCTAGTGATCGGTGGACTTGCGTCTTTACTCGTTCTGGTAAGTTTTACTACTCGTAAAGATCTCAGTATATGTCTGTTAATCATATTGTCATTATTAACTCTGAAATTTTTGCCATCTCTTTCAGGTGACCATCATTAGCTCATTTGTCTTCCCTTCTCTTCCTCCCAAGCCATTGAATATTTTCTTTTCCATCTGTATCATGCTAGTCTGTGGGTCAGTGTTGGTTCTGGTGAGTAAGAACTTACAATGTAATCTAAAAGCATTATGTTTAATTGTTTAAATGGTGCCAAAGAGATATAAATGGTTTCAAATGCAATTCCTAATCGAAATAAATGAAATCACATCCATCGCTTTCTCTCTCAGATATACTGGTATAGGCAAGGAGATCTGGAGCCCAAGTTTCGCAACTTGATCTACTACATGCTCTGTTCCATCGTTCTGCTGTGTATCTGTGCCAACTTGTATTTTCATGACGTGGGACGTGATAAACAGAACAATGCCTTATAATACTTTTTCCACGGGAGCTGTCCCAATCAGCGGAATGTTCATCATTATGTGGGTGCTTTGGGACCCCACTTGAGTTCTTGAATCAGGAGAATTCATTTTTCCTAGCTGCCCCACTTGTGTGGGCAGGGCCAGTCTGCCTTTGGGAGCCATGTTAGCGGACTAAACATATTATAGATGCAAGTATGTTAGTGATCAGAAGCACTCTGGGATGATGTCCATGTACACGTTTTGCAACCTGAATGCTGTACACGGCTTAACCTATATGCAAATGTAAAAAAGACTCTGAGGTTTTGAAATAAGCCATGGCAATGTAATGCATAATGCTTTTATATTTGTACATGACACATCTATGGTACATTCCGAATTAAGAAAAATCTTTATTTTGTATTTAAATTGGGGCACTGGGGTTTGTTAGCTCATACACACTTTGACATGCCATGAAATTATGAGTGAACTAAATTAATGTTTCAATGTTTTAAAGCTCTAGGTAACCCAACCATGACTATGTCCTGCTTCTGAATCTCTTGCCGTGAGGAGCGAACCCAGCCAAGACAGCAGTGGACATGCACTGCTATCCTCCACTCCACAGGGGGTGCTGCTGGTAGAAGATATCAGGAAAGGGTGTGTGCACTGCTCTGGCCATGGATGACTTCACTACACGCACCTATGGCACCAGCGGCATGGACAACAGGCCTCTGTTCGGGGAGACGTCGGCCAGGGTAACACACCTGCTATTTTTTTATTAGTATCATTATATTGTTATATACAAACACACAGTTCCAGACCATGTTTTTATTCTTGAATATCAGTTTTGCTTAGGAAAAAAATGTCACATTGTGGAAGCAAAATAGGTTGAGAATGCATTGTCATGTTTACTTAGATTGCACAGAACAATATAAAGAAGGATTATTGCTTAGTTAATTGTGACTTTAAAGGAATAGTTCACCAAATGCCATTTTCAGAAAATCTACTCACCCTCAGCTACGGGTGGGCGATATGACCTAAATCTTGGATCACGATACGAGTCATTTTATTTCACAGTAACGATATTTATCAAGATATAGTTATTTTTGCTTTAAATAAGGTCTTTATGATCTCAACATATTTGATACCATAGAAACATTTCATTCTTGTCACCAGTTTAAATATCACAAAAAAACTAATACTAGCCTAAATTAAAAAAAACAAAACTCAAGCTCACTGAAGACAAGTAAACAGTCAGCGATTAAATAAGAATAATAAACTTATTATGAGCAATAGGACAAAAAAACTACAGTAGAACAAATAAATAAGAAATGCTACATACATTGTATAAAGTAATCAAATGTATAAAAACACTGCATATTCTTCACTGTGTAAATTGAATATATAGTTCTTCTTATTAAAGTCACAAAAGTGATTGTCAAGAGCAGTGAGAGATTTTCTCTCTTCTGTTGTTTGATTAACATGAATGACAGACAGCAGGAATATTAGACTGCTGTCACTTTAAGAGCTGCCCGTTTCCAATATACTGTTACACGTGTTTTCTTTCTCAGTTGTTTGCTTTCACTTAAGACCTAAATTACTGTGTTTATGAGGATATTTAAAAAGACGGGCATTTTGACACATACAAGTGTGTGTATTTAACCGTTCAAGGCCTATAAAATGGCAAAAAAAAACTCTGTTCAACACTCCCGCGCTCTATGAGCACCGTCTTCACAACGATACACAAGTAATCTAGACGACTCCAGTCCATCAGTTAACATCTTGTGAAGTGCAAAGCTGCTTATTTGCAAAAAACAGATCCATCATTAAGGCATTTCAACTTTAAACTGTTGATTCCCGCTAAAATACTTCTATCCGTAATGTTGCTTTCTCCAGTAAAAAAACGGTCTTGTCTGAAACAAATATGTCGGTGGGCTTTGATGTGAGAGGACAACAGGAGATGGACTTTTTCACAGGAGGAAGTGTTATTATGGATTACAGTCTCTTATAGAATCTTATTTTTGTATTTCACATTTTTGGGGTAAACTATTCCTTTAAATTACAATGAGATTACAAATTACAATGTGACTATTCCGTCAGCTACATTTAATATATTTTTGTCGATCACTTTCAGGATAGATTCATCAATCTAGTGATCGGTGGACTTGCGTCTTTACTCGTTCTGGTAAGTTTTACTACTCGTAAAGATCTCAGTATATGTCTGTTAATCATATTGTCATTATTAACTCTGAAATTTTTGCCATCTCTTTCAGGTGACCATCATTAGCTCATTTGTCTTCCCTTCTCTTCCTCCCAAGCCATTGAATATTTTCTTTTCCATCTGTATCATGCTAGTCTGTGGGTCAGTGTTGGTTCTGGTGAGTAAGAACTTACAATGTAATCTAAAAGCATTATGTTTAATTGTTTAAATGGTGCCAAAGAGATATAAATGGTTTCAAATGCAATTCCTAATCGAAATAAATGAAATCACATCCATCGCTTTCTCTCTCAGATATACTGGTATAGGCAAGGAGATCTGGAGCCCAAGTTTCGCAACTTGATCTACTACATGCTCTGTTCCATCGTTCTGCTGTGTATCTGTGCCAACTTGTATTTTCATGACGTGGGACGTGATAAACAGAACAATGCCTTATAATACTTTTTCCACGGGAGCTGTCCCAATCAGCGGAATGTTCATCATTATGTGGGTGCTTTGGGACCCCACTTGAGTTCTTGAATCAGGAGAATTCATTTTTCCTAGCTGCCCCACTTGTGTGGGCAGGGCCAGTCTGCCTTTGGGAGCCATGTTAGCGGACTAAACATATTATAGATGCAAGTATGTTAGTGATCAGAAGCACTCTGGGATGATGTCCATGTACACGTTTTGCAACCTGAATGCTGTACACAGCTTAACCTATATGCAAATGTAAAAAAGACTCTGAGGTTTTGAAATAAGCCATGGCAATGTAATGCATAATGCTTTTATATTTGTACATGACACGCCTATGGTACATTCCTAATTAGGAAAAATCTTTATTTTGTATTTAAATTATTAGAAATGCAATCTTGAATAAGAGCACTTGATTAAAGACATGCAGCAGTTATTGTAAAATATGCTTTTTGTTCATTTTTCTAAGTTACTGAACACTGTTATTTGATATGGTGAAAAAGTGTAAACACGCATAAACTACAGAACAAAAGGCTTTCCAAGATTCTTGTATTTGGGTAAATGAGATTGTGCATTTGTTTTTATATATTTAAACGGATGTGTATCATGTTTGTTCACAGTTAAACAATGATTGTTGTGTGTTGTCTCGTGTTTATTTGCAGACTCGAGCAGCATTTATGTTAATGGTCGATTGGTTTTGGGGAATTGGAATGGATCCTCCAGCTCTCCCTTGAGGAGCATCTGGATAGCGAGCGCTTCCCAATCCTCATCCTGCTCGGAGTCTCTATCTGAAGCTCTGGATGGTGAGGAGGAGGTTATGGATGGAGGAGAGCGACAGTGAGCAGGCAAATATATTCACTACCCGGATGTGTGGAAGAACAGTGTGTAAAGTGAGCCTGACTGATCTACACAGAACAAACTGGCTGGTCAGAGAGATTGATCACTCATGCATTTATAGCAAAGATTGACAGGTTATTTGAACCCAGGACAGATTTGGACAAATGCTAATTAAACCCTGTATTGAAATGACAGCTGACAAACTTATGACTAAACATCAAAATGTTTTGACTTATTTTTAATAATTAATAGAACAGACACATGCATGAGTTCAGATCAGTTTGTCAGCACACAGCACCACCTTGTGGACAATACGTGTATCTGCAATTATCTGTAAAACTGCATTAGGAACAGGGCTGTTTAATCCTGCTCCTGCTGAGCCACTTTCCTGAGTTTAGCTCCAAACTGACTGAAAACACCTGAAGCAGCTAATCAAGTTGGACAAATGATAATTAAACCCTGTATTAAAATGACAGCTGACAAACTTATGATTAAACATCAAAATGTTTTGACTTATTTTTAATAATTAATAAAACAGACACATGCATGAGTTCAGATCAGTTTGTCAGCACACAGCACCACCTTGTGGACAATACGTGTATCTGCAATTATCTGTAAAACTGCATTAGGAACAGGGCTGTTTAATCCTGCTCCTGCTGAGCCACTTTCCTGAGTTTAGCTCCAAACTGACTGAAAACACCTGAAGCAGCTAATCAAGACCTTTAGGACCACTAGAAACTTCCCGGCACGTTTGTTGGACCCTATGTTTCTTATTAAAATGAAGAATAATAATTAAAAAAATAACAAATTATGTTATTTACATGTTGTGTGTTTGTTTATCAGTTTGAGTTTGACATTTGACGGATCAATAAAGTTCGTAAAGATAATTATGAGTGTTTGTTCATTTGATTCTGACTGATTTATTAATACATTGCTCTTGGGAGTCCTGAGTTCAAATCATGTAAAACAGTCAAAATCTCAATAAAACCCTTGCTATCACAAACTCTGTGGCTCAGTGGACGAGCGTTTGCCTTTCATTCACCAACGTCTGGATTTAAATCTCCCAAATACTATTGTTCTTCATTAGTTCAAACAAAGTTATTAATAAAACCTCATCCAAAACACAAACCCACTCTACAGATTCAGTGGCTCAGTAGATAAAGCACTGAACTTTCATCTAGAATAGGGGTGGCAAACGTTGGTCCTGGAGAGCCGCAGCCCTGCAGAGTGTTGCTTCAACCCTAATCAAACACACCTGAACAAGCTAATCAAGATCTGAATGGTTACTAGGAAGCTACAGGCAGGTGAGTTTTAATGTGTGGTCAACACATCTATCAGCTTTCATTAAAACGACAAACGACAAGGTGGCCAGTCTTAGATTTAAGTTGCATGTATTTTACAACAAATCTAATACTTTGTCACAACCAGCAGAGAAACGTGGAATCTGTCAGTTTATCTAAATGCACCTGGGGCAAATGTGATTGTTGATGGTTTGGCCTGATCTTGGATTGTTTGGTTCTTCGAAGCTCATCCCGGAGTTGCTGTCTCGGGAGCAGGTTTATTTCATGTAAACAGGATTAGATTGCATCTTCTTAAGCAGAATTGATAGTTAAAATCTGTCCGCTACCACCGCTACTTTATTACAAGAGTACCTTACTAATCCAGGGACAATAATTTAAAATAATCATTTAAAAATTAATTTAAATATAATAACAATGTTGTGTAGTCTTTAATACTATAGACACAGCCAGTATTACTCACTGAGAGATTTATTCGTCAAAAAATGATTACTTCATACTTGTATTCGAGTCTTACACACATGCTATACAGATAATGTAGAGTTGTGCATTAATTTGAGTGCTGACAGATATTATGGGAGGGGCTTGATGGAGTGCAGGAGATGCAGATAACATGATCT